GTGTGTGTGTGTGTGTGTGTGTGTGTGTGTGTGTGTATGCATGTTTGAAGCAGCCTTGAGTGTCTTTTCTCTCCGTCTGTCTCTTTAGAATCAGACAGCTTTGTCCTTGAGAGGAGCTGTGCTGCGCTTTTTGTGAACACCCCCCTTTTACCTCTCAGTGCCTTATTTTTATTATTTTTTTYCCCCCTTGCGTTTCCTTCTGGGGCAGATTTGAGAGCAGATTGCGAGCTGGGCTTTTCATCATTTCATCCTCCCTTTCCTCTCTTTGGTGTGCTCAAAGGCAGACTGAAAAGGATTTGCTCTAATCTGCAGACGTATGACAAGTGTTGATGTCATTGTAAACAGTAGGGAGCTGGCAGTAAATGTATGGATGCAATAAATAAGCATTATTATCAGTCGAGGGGTGTCTGCGCTGTTTTATTTTATCTGCTTCTTTTGCAAGACTCCTTGTTTGTAGAAATAGAGTGAGGAGAAGATGCAGAACGTGAGCTGTAACCAGTTTTATTTTAGAGCGAGACAAGAATAAAAGTAACATGAAAGGAGTTTTGAAAATCTGATTCTTGATTGGCTTCTAAACGAAATTTGAAAAAAAAAATCACCTTTGATTTTCTGGTAAATCAGTTTTATTGTGGTTTTTCTTTTTGTTTGCTCACATGCAGTTTTTCTCACCTTAAAATTGTTATCAATGCAACAAGAGAAAACCCAATAGCTCTTTTTCACAAAGGACTCTAGTATGAAACAGGATCCTACAAAGAAATATGATGCCGCATTTGAGAGGTGGCTTGCTCTTAAATATTTTTGAAGGACTCCTGAAATAAAATGTGCAAACCCTAATTCTCTGAGTCAGGCCTGTTGGGGTTCATGTGAACGTTTCAGAGCCAGAAAGCTTACCAACTCAGCTCTTGCTGTGGGCTTTAGTGGATATTCTGCACTTTTGTTCCCATGCAGGCCTTTTTCGTGAAAGACTACACCATGAATCATCCGGAGGATGGCGAAAAGATCGGGCGACTGAGAGAACTCATGTTTGAGCAGGTGAGAGGAATAAAAAAAACTATTGCAACCAAGGACTTGGGGACAAATGAGCAAACATTTTAATAATAATAAGAAAAAAAACTTTTTTTCTGTCTGTATTGTAGGCACATATACTGGAATATGGCCTAGCCGTGCATGAGAAATATGTTCCCCAAGACATGAGACCTCTTCACAAGAAGCTGGTGGACCAGTTCCATCTTATGAAATCCAGTTTGGGCATACAGGTAAGCTCTTGGTCCAATGACAAATTTAAATACTAGACAGCAACTCATAAAACTGCCTGGTAGATACTGGGTACATACGTGGTGGTTACTGAAAACATACTTAGTACCTATGGGAACATGACTGTCTACTTTGCAACTGTGGTGTGCACCAGAAGACTGGGTTCATAAGGACAAAGTAACAAGTCACCATAGGTACAACACATGTTCTCTGTACCAACATGGGAAATTACTGRTACTTATTGTGTACTTACAAGGTAAGTACCTAGTTTTTACGATATGTATCTGGTACTTAAGTAGCTGATTTGTAATAATTCCCCATGGGTACCAGGAAGGTACTCAGTTCCAATAGGGTGTGTACCTCATGGGTGCCACATATGTTCTTGATATCTATGGAGTAAGTACCTGGTGCTTATTKTGTACTTACAGGGTATGTACCTAGGCTTTACGGAACCTATTTGGTTGGGTACCCAGTTTGGGTTTGGGTACCCAGTTCCTACAGTGTGTGTGCCCCATAGGTACCACATTATGTTCTTGATATYTACGTRKAAAGTACCTGGTACTTATTGTATACTTACAGGGTATGCACCTAGTTTTTAGGGTATGTATTGGGTACTTACTGGTAAGTGCTTGGTTTGTAATAATTCCCCATAGGTACCAAGTRTGTACTCAGTTCCAAAAGGGTGTGWACCTCACGGGTACCGCATATGTTCTTGATACCTGGTGCTTATTGTATACTTACAGGGTATGCACCCAATTCCAACTGGGTGTGTACCTCATGGATACCACATATGTTCTTGATACCTATGTAGKAAGTACCTGGTGCTTATTGTGTACTTGTATGTACCTAGGCTTTACGGAACCTATTTGGTATCTGTTTTTTTAATAATTTATCATAAATAATGGCTATGTCACTGGTTCTTACCGGGTAGTACCTTGTACAAACCCTGGTATTTACATGGTAGTTCCAGGTTCTTAAACTTATTCTGTAGGTACCTTGAGGGTATGTTCCTGGTACCTATAGCATACTTACAAMGTATGCATCTGGTGCATAACCTGTAAGTACAAGCTAAGAAGTCATTTTATATCACAGTCAGGTCCCAGGAACCAGATCTGTACCCAGTAAGAACCAGTTACATACCTGGTACCTATAAAGTATGTACGTTTTTGGTACTTACCAAATACATTCCTGCTACTTATTGGTTACCAGGCATGTACCCTCTAAATAAGGGGTAACAASTCACTTCAGAATAGATCCACACAGGTACAAGGTATATACATGGTGTGTATGGGGTATGTACCAGGCTGTATTGTGTATTTTTAACAAATTTCATATTAAACATAAAAGGAAATGTTCCGTGTGTTCCCCAATTATTAACTAAAGTCTTTACAAAAGCATAAACTGAAGTTGACAACAAGCTTCTGCTGTTTTAGACTTCAGAGTAAATGACCCCTACAGTCCTCCAAAGGAGAAAAGCCACCCCTCATTAAACAGCCTCCCCTCGAGTAGTTTATTTACGTACCTCATGCTGGCACAAAAAAGGCATTTAATCACTTTAACTTCCTCCTCATTTCATAACCACAGGAGTTTCCGGCGTATGTGCGGGCGAGCCCAGTTCACTTCACCAACGGGAGCCCGAGAACGTGCAGGAACTCGGTGCCCAGCATCATTAGTCCGGACGGCAGCAGAGGGGCCGCCAGGCGGAGGTGATGACCCCCGTCAACTTTGTTCGTTCTATCGCATTTTTTATGCATTATTTATCTTTCTGGAGCTCGAAGAAAAAAATTCAGATTCCTCTGTCTTTTCATTTTAAAGATTTATAAATCATCCAAAAACATTTCCACTTTATATTCTCTCCTGATTTACCTCATTACAGTGGGGTCTCTACTGCGGACCATTTGTCCACRTCTTGGTTTTGTTTATTTTCTTGAGTCACCGCCTCACCTTGAATGCCACACTCGATGCCCTTTCCATCTTCCTCCTACAGTCCCTTATTGGTGTAGTTCTGTGTTTGCTTATAATACGCGTTGGGGGGTTTGGATGGATGGATGGTACCCACCGGGATGCTTCTGTGTGGCTGCTGTCAGGCCGGCAGGCAGACTGTATGTGTGCCTGTCAGTGTGTGTTTGTGTGCGTTTTGATGTGTTCAGTGACCCTTTCCATGCCATCTACCTGCGACATTCTGCTTCCACAGTCTGATCCCACGGGGCCCGGAAACTAGGGGACGCGTACATCACTTCAATCTCCCAGTGACATTTCAGCATATTTTGCCTGACTTTTGTTTTCTGCACTGGTTTTAGAAARCCAAAACTTTTAGGATATGTTATTTTTTTATGTAGGTTATCTTGCATTTAATCTGACAGTCTTTGTTTCTTTTTGTCCTTTTTTTTGCCCCGCTTGGCCTTGATGTTGTTCCCTAATTCTTGGTAAGTCAAATCTCTCTAAGGAAGCGAATCATAAGTAGCATTCCTTGTTGAGGATGTTTTATACTACTACACCAAATTATAGCTGAGAAACTGTAAAAATGACTGATTATAGACATTATTTTGTGGTCAAGTTGGCCTAAAGTTAATCAGTTACATCAGTGATCCTTAAAAYGTATCCTTTGTTTCATGAGATGTACACACAGATAAATACATGGGCTGTGTCCAAATTGAGGGGCTGGGTCCTTTGAAGGACCTGGCCTGTTTGGTCTTTGTGGGCTGGTTCCTTGATAGGCCATGAAAACTTTAAAAAATGGTTGTGAGTTTGGACGGTCTAGTCTTCAGCTTTATTCCCACCCAACTGTGACGATGCCAAACAAGCAAAAACGGATCAAAATTAGCAAAATATCAATATATTGGTGTTATTTACAACAAAATTAGCTTAAAGGCGATATTTGAAGAACTAAGGGACTCGTCAAAGGTACGTTTTTGTTTCTCTATCCCAGCTCAATTGATTTCTGACAGGAAGAATATTAAACGCTTGTCTAAATGAATGACAAAAGCGTTAACACAACCGTATGAAACTTTTCATTTTCATTACGCAAGATTTTTATTGAAACTTGTCTCTCGATTCATCCGCCATTACGAGCAGAACAAAATCTCCCATCGAACTGCAATGCATCATGGGATAGGGTGGGCCGAGGTAAAAGGGGGACGCTTTTATCAACCGCATCCGAGAATTCTTTGAATTTGGTCAGCCTCCAGCATGGCGCTGTAACAAATCCGTCCTTCGGAGGACGCAGTCCCTGAATTTGGATCACCTGACTTGATGGCACTTCATGAAAATCACCTTCTCTGACTCTCTCTGTCTTCCTGACCCCCTTAGCCTCAGCAGCTACCCTGCAGTGAACCGTTACTCCTCGTCCTCCCTTTCATCCCAAGCCTCCAATGAAGTCAGCAACATCACCGGCCAGTCGGAGAGCTCCGATGAAGTCTTCAACATGCAGGTAAACCCCTCTCTCCAGAACACACAAGCCTAAGGCGCAGCCTCTTCTGCGCTGCCACCCACACTCGTAAAGGCTCTTAAAGTAGTAGATTGAGTCCACATCCCAACATTTGCCCTCCTGCTCCCCTCACGCTCGACTCGCAGTGCTTTTTATAATCTCACCTCGCTCCGTTCCGCCCTCGTTTTTCCTCTCCCCTGACCTCCGCTCTGCCTTGTCATCCTGACTCTTTTGTTCAGGGCTTCGTCAAGCCAAACAAATCGTCATGATTACATCAATTCAGGACTCGGTGCTTTGTGCGGGCCGTCTGGGGAGCCCGCCCGAGTCTAATCTAAACTAGATTTGGCCAATTCAGAGAACTGCCGACAACTTCTGGCAAGCTGTCTGATGCACCTGGCAGGCTCCAAGTAACACCACAAGGAAGAAAAAGGCTGTTATCAGGGATCTGACTGAGCCAATTATGGCATTAATTTTGAATATTGAGGGTTTTGTTCTCCAGAGTATGTACAATTTATTAAAAAATCAAAAGAAAATTGAGAAGTATTATAATCTATTTGCTAAAAACATCGAATTACGGATTTATGTTTTAATTTTAAAGGTGTCTGACATTCATTGGCACCCATAGTGCTGTTTGAGTTAATTATTTTAAGTAATTTATTATCAACTACCAATGGGTAATACGGGCAATAAGTAATATACAGCATTTAGGGGCTTCATCGTGATACGTTATATTTGTATTATTTTAACATTTGATTTAAATCTGTAAATGTTAAATTAAGCTCTGTGTTACAAAACTCGTGATTTGTAAAGAAAATTCAAGAAATAATAAAATGCAAAATGGATTTTCTACCAGTAAGAAAACAATAAATCCATCAAATCTAAATGAACAATTTGTAAATAAGCAGAAACAATGAATAATTTTCCAACTATTTGGCCTAACGTCTAACATGAATATTTTTGGAGACATATTGCAATAATTTCTAGCTTTATTTATGTTGCTTGCATCTTCTTTGGTTTTACCACGATTAAAAACAACCTTATCRTCTGCATACAGTGAGATTTCACATTTTCCACAAACGTTATATCATTAGTTTGCTGTTTAATGTGTACTACAATATTTTAACATCTGCTCTAAATWATGGTGTAAAATATCCTATAGAAGACACATACTTTTGGATTTTTATTTTTAATACCATGAAAATTAATGYCAAGACATGTATTTTGCAATGAAGTGATTGTTTTCCATCTGTTAAACATGATTACCTGCAAGAAAACGTGGAGTCATCATTACTTAGCACACAAAGGTTTTCACTGTTAGGGATAATATGGTTCCACCAAAATCTTCAARAACTTTAAGGAAAGAAGTTCTGTTGGAACAGGAAAGTGAAGACTTGTGGAGGATGGCCATGAAACGTAGCATTTACACGTTTTATTTTATTTATTTATTTATTTTTGTTTTATTTTATTTTATTTAAAAATGTATTAATTTCATTTAAAACAAAATAACTAAACGCAATGATGACACCCAAAAACTTCACCTCACTGACTCTACAGATCTCAACACCATCAACTCTAAATGGAACATTGACAGTTCTCTTTTTATTACTGAATATCGTATAGTTAGTTTTATCCAAATTTAACGATAATTTATTAAGTTGAAACCAATTTTGTATTTTTACAAATTTGGTCTGCGCCATCTACAGCATCCATTCTATATCTTTACCCAAAAAATAGATGCTGTATCATCTGCAAATACAAAACATTAAAAAAACCCTGACACATTTATTAAGTCGTTCAGGTATAAAATACAAAACTTAAGTCCAAGTACAGAACCCTGAGGAACTCCACATGTGATTTTACAGAATTCAGATCTTACATCATTTATTTATACCAACTGTTTTCTATCCTTCTAATAGCTAGATATCCACTGTAATGCTGGTCCTCTAATACCAAATTTATTCAATTTATCAAGAAGAATAAGGTTCTAAATGCTTCAGTTTAGCATAGATGCTAACTCAAATCTAATGCAACAAACTTTACCAATACTTGTCTTTTTCTAATTTTGTTCACATCTTAACCAAAGTAAGCTAACCGGAAAGCAAACACGCTTTCTAAACTTTTAATGTTTCTGTCCTGGTTGATGATGTCGACATAGATCCTGTTTTCTTTTCTCACCCACAGCCCAGCCCTTCTACCTCGAGCCTCAGCTCCAACCATTCTGCCTCGCCCAACGTCACCAGCTCGGCCCCCTCCAGCGCCAGAGGTGAGACAGCGACTTCTTATTTTTATGAAACAATATGTAGGCTTCCAAGCTGATATTTCAAGCCCCAGTGATCCACGTAGAGGAGGCAGAAAAGCAGGCTGTCTGGGCAAAGTGAACTTTTAACCTTCCRACAAGACGGCGTTCTCCCAAAGCGCCGTGGCGTTCCGCCTTTAGAGGTTAGCGAGGTTAGACGACAGAGKKTTTAGAGAACAGAAGGATCGAGTTGAAAGAAATAAAATGCTTTAAAAAATAAAGCAATAAATGGGCTGAGGGAAGAAACACGTTGCCGGTGAAAATGCAGAACAGCACAAGAGAGAATAAGAGATTATYACATCTGCGCCGAGCATCCCTTAACACAACCCTGCGTCCGGCCCGCCGAGCCTCCGGTTCTGTGCGGCGTAAATATCCAATGCCGCCTCGTCTCGCTGTGTTCCAACAAGTAAACGTGCTTCTGCCCGAGCCCCGTCATAAAAAACTGAGAATATATGAAGACGTTTATGGAAGCGTATGCACTCCCCTTTGGCAGGCTGCTGACAGCGGGCGGCGCCCTTATGAAAGTGCCCTCTGTCCACCCATAAAGCGTGTCGTGAATTATCGCCGCCGCCGCGTTAACCTGAATGAGAGCCAGCGATGGCTATCTTATATTCATATGATAGCCTTCCAAGTGCTATCACGGTGGCGGCTCGCTCCGGATTCAGAAAAACAGCTGCTGTAAAAATGAAGAAACTTTTGATTTTTTGATTTTTTTGCGTGCGTGTGGCTTTTGTGCTTATCGCTCGTCTCGTGTTACATATGTAACCCCGTCCAGCTGTAGCTCCCGTCGCTGGAAGAGGATATGTAGGGGCGAGGTTAGTGGGAGGGAGGAGGGTGTGTTTGTGTGTGTGTGTGTGAGGAATGGCCAGGCTATTTATCACACTGTGGAGCTAGTGAGGCTGAAAGGATGGCGGAGAGGCTTGAGTGGGGGTGGAGAGAGAGGGAGATTGGCCTTTCCTGATTGCCAGTATTTGTGGGTAATAGCCTAACACCTCACTCCTGTTTGGTCCTTTTTATGCTTTGTGTGTGTGTGTGTGTGTGTGTTTGTGTGTAACAGCGTTAACAACTCACACTGCTCGTTCCAGGTTCACCTCAGATGGCAGAGAAGCACAAGCACTCCAGAGAAAACGCCTGTCTGTCGCCGCGAGACCGACCGGTCAGCGCCATCTTCCCCAACCCCCTCGACCCGACCCAGGTCAGCACACACATGCAGTTATCTCAACACACTCACCTGTGCCCACTTAAGGGAGGGTAATTTGATTTAAAAAAGCAGATTACCTGAAATACTCCACATCACTCGCCTGTTATTCCAATATGGTTTTAWAGAAATTGTCTTCATGAGKGCTCAATATGAAGTATTCACGTACCATTTGTCGGAAGGAATAGCAATATTTCTTGAAGAATTGCATTGCACTCTAAAGTTGTAAACAAAGATCTCATCAAGCTGTCATCAAAGTATGTGTTGGTGATGACTCTCAGCTACTACCAAATCAAATTTTAGCTCAATATCTGCAAAACTGGCTGMGTTAGAGCCATTTATCTTCACTTTCATTCACGGCAGACACACAGGCAATAACACCATCACCTATTTTTTATAATGGCAGGAATTACAGGGCAGGGTTATAACACTAATGCTGTTTTGTGCCAATTTAGAGTTTAAAAAAAACATAACCAGAGGTTTTAACACCCCAAAAGATTTGGTTCTCCAACAAATTTTCCAAGATCTGATACTTTAATTAACTTGTAAAAATCACGTCTTGTTCAGAATTATCATAAGGAAAACCCAAACAATACAGTTAGTAAACAGAGGGCCTCTCCGAGGAGCTTCCCAGCACTCTCAACAATAAAACAATTGGTGTTCATAAAGCTGAAGACACTAAAGACAGAGCAGAGGAGTTTTCAGGGAGTGTTTTGCTCAGTTCAGAATATAATTAAGAAATACCAGCGAACCAGAAATGATGCATGTTCACAACTGATGTAAAGTGAGAAAAAAAAGATTTTTGACCAGARATCAGATCAACAAAGATTTGTTGGGTGAGAACACAATTGTAGCCAGAGTTGTAAAGTAAAGTAAAAAGTACTTTTTTTCCTTTCTTTCAGTATGAAATTTGGGTTATCTATATTTAACTTGAGCAATTATTTTGTCAGCCATTTTTTTTTTTACTTTTTTATTTCTACTCCCTGCATTTTAACGAATTGGAAGGTTGTCCTATTTCATTTTTTTTGGCTTGTTTTTGGTATAAAAAAATAAAAACCTGTCCAGATAATTTACGTGAATTAAATTGTAATTGAATGAGAAGTATAAACATCTACCATTCCAACACAATGCATATGTAGCCAAGTATGAAGATCATTGCAGAGATGTATACGCAACTGAAGCATGTAGCTCAGTGCATCCCACATTTTTCTACATTAATGCTTTAATAGTTTTATCATCATTATGGCCTTAAGAAAAATGTGTTTTGGGGAGGTCACCTCCCAATAAATGTCATTTCGGAAATTCCAATCGCTCASTTTCCCTCATCAAAAACATACCCGTAGTTCAGAGTGCTGCTTTGATTCATTCATTGCTTGTTTGAGAAGTCCTTGAACCTCCAGTAGCCACGTGGAGCTGCCTAAATGTTTGCTGGTACAAAGCTCYGCCTATTTACACAAAGCTCCTCCCTGGAGCTACGTTTGCAGCCAAGCTCCCGCCCCACAGAGCACCCCTCCCACGAAGCATTGTTGTGAAGACGTGCTGAAGTGGGAGTGTCAGAAACGGTAGGAGGTTCTTAAAGAGACAGAGGCCATCTTTGAGGAGTTTAGATAGACTATAATGTCAAGCCACATTTATTTTTGATGAATACAGCATTTTGATAACAACTGAAGGTAACATAGTTACTTGATTGTGTTATAGAACTGAACTAAGTGCCTGGAAAATATGTAATTTTACTTGAGTAAATATGAGACTTTTACTCAAGTAACTTTTACCAAAGTTGTTGTATGGTAAGATAAGTATGTAACAAGATAAGTCACTGGTAAGTACCACATAAATTATTGCCATCTGGTTCGGATTTGCGATTTATCCAAGGACATTAAAGGCACAGTGTGTAGGATTTTGTCTATTCTTTTAGCCGAAATTGAGATAATCACTAATGATAATAATAAAAACATGTCTAATCATTGCAGACAAAGACCTTGTTTTATTATTTTTACCTTAYAAAAAGCTGTTTATATCTCCATGGTCGCGGGTCGCCACTACAGGCGGCCGCCATCTTGTCTACGAAGGCTCATGAAGGACAAACTGCGGTGGCGGCGTCAAAAATGGTTTTAGTTGTAATACTATAAATGTAATATTTGTTGTCTGTCATTGTAGCTGGGATAATTTTACTTATTAAAGCTCATAATCTTACCACTGAAACATCACTAGCCCTGAAGCTGCTGGTAGACGTCGCGGTTGGAATTATCAAAGGTTTTTGACACCTGAGAGACACCGTAGCAACTCCTTTGCGTTTGGAAGCGGGGGGTGGGGGTGGGGGGAGGACCAGGGAGGATGATTCAACCACTCAACCACTAGATGTCGCTGAAAACAACAAATCCYACACACTGTGCCTTTAAAATATTATATTATGGTTTTGTAAATTATTGATACGTTCCATCAGTTTTTGCAGATATTGGAGCTCAAACGAAGAGTTGAGTTTCTATTTGTCCAACACTGTGTTTAACACCACCTAGAAGAAAAATAAGTCTATAAGGTGCATGCTGGCTAGAAAACAAGGTCAGCTTTGTGTAAAACATGTGAGTGTGTGACTTCAGCCTCAGAGATGAACCGGCCTCTATTGTAAGGCCTTTAGTCGCTGAGAAGTGCAGTTTTTCCAGGTGCGGCCGATGTCAACCTCTGTCTTTATTACACWGTAGCTCTGCCTCATTCCACTTTGCACAACCTTTTCTGTACAGCAGGCTGATGTTACCATAATAACAAGGGGCGACAAGAACAAGTTGATATTGCRATTCCTTTTCTAGCCGAAGGACAGCATGTAACACAATCACGCCCGAGCCGCAGCCGCCAAGCGCCGCTAACAGAAAGATAATGTGTTTGCTTTTCAAGGCTCTGTATTTCTAGCCGCTGCTGCTTGTGGCAGAGTTCAGCTGCTTTTCTTGGCCCGTTTGGGTTGAATTCGACAAAGGCAATAATTAGAGCGAGCCTACTGACTACGAGACACTTTTATTTGTCGGCTGAATGAAGCATTGATTGCTTGTATTACTTGCTGCAATCAGAGCACAATTATACAGGTCACAACTCAGTAAAGAGTCTGACTTTGACTTTTGCTGTTTGTCTCTGCATTAAATTTATAAAAAAAGTTTTACTGAGATTTTAGGAACTTAGATTTAAGGAAACCATTTGAATGTGATGTTAATGCCTTTTCTTAGTGAGCTGGTCATTATACATAGAAATAACTTTTGTTAGGTTAAAGTGCCTGGGACATGCGTTTCCTTCAAATACAAAAGTGAAATAAAACTTTATATTTAAGAAACTTGACAAAAAAGACAATTTTATCCATTTTGTCCCATAACTGGCATATTTTCTTTGGAAYTTGGCGCAGCCAAAGTGAAACAGGAAGTGACATCAAAGGGGAACGCTTCGAGAAAAGGAACGCTCTGGTCATTGACTCTTCTTCATCCGATAGTGACTCAAAATAATCTGAAGACGCATCAAATTCTTCTCTACAGTCAAAGCTTAGCTATTGTAACAACGCTCTGTTTACATACAGACATTCCCCCTTTGACATCACTTCCTGTTAATGCAAATGCAAATATCTCAACAAATGTTCATCTCAGCTGCATGAAATTTTTTTTGCAATATTTTGTCAGTATTCTCTTTCCAAAAATGCATTCATGTTTATGTAAAGAAGTTGWTGTCACAGGCACTTAAAGGTCTTCAAATGATTTTCCATGTCAGTTTATTGAGGCATGGACAAGATGACAAATTTTAAGTCTCGTTATTGAGACAACGAAAACCGTAAATTGGCCCTGATTATTTGCTGTATACTTATTGAAGTACAAAGAAAAAATAAAAACATACAATAGACATTCACAATACTTAAAAATCACTTACAAATATAAGAAAAGACTCGCATATAACTTGAGTTTTATGCTAATTTACGAGAAACTTAAGTTGGAGCAAAACAAGCTGCGTTTCCATTGACCATGAAAATGCGCAAATTAGAATTTCGAAAATAAATTTGCTCAATGGAAACGCATCAATTTCGAAAAAAACTTGCTTTTTTCAATAAAATGTTTTTGCGCTAGGATGAGGTGGTATTTCAGTCGTATTGAAATTGGTGTGTTTTGCAAAACTGCAATGGAAACACTTTTTTCGTATCACAGGAGTCACGTGATCAACAACCGTCTGTTTCTACTAGCGAAAAAGACAACGACAAAGAAGATAACAGGAAGTAGAAGTAGTAGTAAAATCACCGAAGTAGTAAAAGAAAGTAGTAAACTCACCGACTACAATTTCCCAAAAACGCAGCATACGTAGCCACTCCCAAGTATAAGGGGCTTGTCGCTGGAAAGCCTCGATAAAAGACGCCGACGTCTCCTCTGATGATGAGCACTAGTGTCGTGGTAGCAACATGCTATGTGTTTACATCCATTGCCGCCATGTTTGTAATGACTTATCGCGAGAACAAACGTATTCACGCGTGACTTTAATAGCATTTCTTAATAAAAACACTGCAGTTGCGAAACTGTGTTTTTCGACATTAACAGAATATCGACAAAGTTTTGCGCACATTTGCAATGGAAACACAGCTACTGACTCTTTGATTGTGTTTAGTTAGAACCCAGCAAGCACAAAGCAATTGTCAAAGCTTCATGTTCTTGTTTTATTGAAGATTTATTTTAATTTTTCTATTTCCAAAAGGTTTTCCCGCCGTTTGTGTTTAATAGTCATTTGGATCATTTCTTTTTTTCAGAGAGCTCCTCCTCATCAGATAGGTGATACCACTTTGCCCCGGAGTGACCCCAACCTCTCAGCACCAGATAAAGGTAAACATCTCATTTCTTTCTCGTACACGGGGGATAAAATATATATAATATTAGATATGGTCCGTCCAGATAATCTAATTTTTACCCTATCACAGATGTCTGAAAATAAAACCTTTTGGAAAAAGTTATGGAGCMATACTGAGGAATACCAGCTTTGTTTCAAGACAAACAGTTGTAATAAAACTTATTAGGCCAGAATCAGTCATGTTCAATAAAAACTAGTTTCTTTGTTTGCTGGAAAGAAACATGTTTTTCTGACAATCCTCACACGTTACATAGCTCAGTTTAAAAACAACCTTAGGTTGAAGTAAAATGAATAATCAGCTAAATTTGTGCAAAAATCCAACTGCTCCTAACTCCACTTCTCTTTACCAAGCCTCACAAATATAACCTATTTTGTGTTTTTCCATCTAGACAAACAAACACCTCGCAGTTATCACTTTTTTTATTACTGGCATCAAATAATTACCGTGGGAGGCAGAAGAAAACAGCTTAAAACAAAGAAGGATGTGTGTAGATGTGAAAGCTTCCTTGTGACTCACACACAAACACATGTGATTCAGGTGTGATGTGTAAATAAAGCTTTGAGACACAATATGGTGATGTGGCCTGACGAAGCTGTTACTGTATAAGTGGGTTTTTATTGAACTTAAAATAACCTTTACGGTATGAAACCTTTACTGTAAAGCTTCAAAGTAAGAAAAGCTGATTTTGGCCTGATCAGCTGCTGATTTCAGAGGCTTTTAAGGTTTTCTAAAAACAGACCGTAACAATCACTCGCCCAGTAAATTTAGTTTAGCTGCTGATTGTTTTATTTTTACAGAAACGWCTGCACCTGAAGGAGCTGAAAGAGCTGCTTCTCAGCTCGGTGTTTGATTGAATGTGAACTATAAATATAAATATATATATGCAGACTAAATCAAGACTCCTTCAGATTTCCATTAACGTTAAATTTGTTTGACTAAATTTCCTGATTTACATACGATTTGCAAATCTGTTAGGAAACATTACAACACCACAGATAAGCTTTTTAGTGTGAACGGATTTTAAAAGGTTTAATGTTTGGTAAAAGTGACTTATAGAGGTCGACCCATTAGAGGTTTTTAATGACCAACACAAAATCCTTGAAAACTGTGAAATTATTTGGTTCAACAAATTGTAAGGGTTGAAGAGTTCTGGGTTTTTAATGACCACTATGAACTATTGCCGTTTTGTTTGTTTTTGACCTATTAATGTGCATACAGAAACAAAAATGCCAAAATACTTTGGTTATAATGTATTGTAGAGAGTGACTGATGAGGGGTTTTATGTAGTCTAATTAGATTCTTGCCCTGGAGAAACTAAATTTTACTTTTCTGCCTGTAAGAGACTCGAAGTACACAACAAAATATATTTAACAGCTAAAAWAGATTTTGCATCCCATTTAATCTTTGGCCTGTAAATAAAAATAAACTAAAATGAGTATTTATTAGAATTAGTCAAATTGCAAAAAAAGTTAAATCAGTGAACTATTTCATATGGGTTCAAATAAACTGCAGAAATTGACAGATTAAGGTTCTTCAATAGCTTATAGAGCAACCGAGGATTGTTTTTTCTTTTATTTTTATGAAGCTGCTTTTTTCATTATGTTAATATAAATTTACCAGTTTATTTCTGATATACATTATAGTTTGTCGGATAGTGAAAAAGCAAAACAAACAGTGTTAAACTAACTGAACCAGTTGTTTAAAGGGATCCATGGTTAGTTGTAACATTAGACTTTGTTTAACAAACATATGTTTTAACTGTAAAATAAAGACTGTAAAAATACTGTAGGCTGTTTAGTTTCGTAAATTTTTTAAAATACATTTAACACGGATGGAGCCATTTTATTTACACGCAAAGCATTCTGGGTAAATGATGACATGGATAGGTCCTCGGTGTGAGCGAGCTATATCCACCCTGAAGGTTAATCTTGGACAATATCTGATGATCGACTCTTTTAAATGAAACCAGAGAGCGTTGACAGAGAGGAGAAGGTAGAAATGACTCAGCCTGGAACTGAAAATATGCTAACCTGTTGTCCTCCATCCATATTTTCAGTTCCAGGCTGAGTCATTTCTACCTTCTCCTCTCTGTCAACGCTCTCTGGTTTCATTTAAAAGAGTCGATCATCAGATATTGTCCAAGATTAACTTTCAGGGTGGATATAGCTTGCTCACACCGAGGACCTATCCATGTCATCATTTACCCAGAATGCTTTGCGTGTAAATAAAAT